CCCATTAATGGATTCATTGTAAAGCCAACGAAAGTTGTTCTATTAGTAATGAATATGCTTAATTACAATTTAGCTACTGATAAGCAATGATAATCAATCATTCAAAAAGTGCTATTACATATTGCATATTACATATTCGTATTCACTTAAAGAAAATATTTTTATAGAAAACGACGAAACTGTAATTAATCATCAAATTTCTCTTTCCCCATTTCCATTGCATTTTTTTTTTTTTTTTTTGTTCAAAATATTATTTGTATAATTTTTTTTTGAAAATTTTATAAAATATTTTATAAAATTTTTAAACAAGTATTAAAAATACATATTACTGCCAAATGATAATGCCAATGATTGTAGGAATTAATTAATGATTTAAAAGAAAATAATAATTTTAAATAACATTTTAATGAGGCAAAAAAAATTTTAATTTGAAAAAAATGTTTCCTTTTTTAAAAAATTATAATTTCACCTTAAACATATTATATATATATATATATTTTTTTTTCGAAAAAAGGAAGAAATATCATTTTATGTTATTTAACAATAATACAGTGATTATTAATATTTTTAAATTTATTCATTTTGTAATTTTCTTGTTTTTTTTCATTCATATTTACTTTAATTTTTTTTCGCCAAATATTTGAATTTGATTGAAAGCAAGTTGGATTTTCATCATTTTTAAAAATTTGCTTAGTTTTTATTCAAAAAAATGTAAAACGAAGATATAAGTAATTTAAGTTTCGAATTAATTAATTAAAATTTTCATTTTATTTCACTGGATTTTATTCTCTAGTAAAATCCATAGAATTATAAAAACTTTTAATAGAATCATATTGGAATGTATGGGTGCATTTTTTGCTAATATATCAAACATATTCAAAATTTAAAAGTTTAATTTTATGCAAATATTTCAAATAATTTCAGAACATATAAAAATTGATATTAGTATGTGAGAAAAAAAAATTACCTCCGTTTTGCTTTTGATTTAATTAATTTTTCAAAAATTGATCAATAATTGTCAAAGGTTGAAAAATTAAATTGTAAAAAGAAAAATGAAAATGTGATTACTTTTTCTTTTGATTGACGTAAGTTTCGAGTCCCGTAAATTCAGCTAATGATGTACGTCGGACTTGTACACGTTCATCGTTATTCTAAAATTATTTGAAACTAAGTTTTGAAATAAATCTGGAAAAAGAAAAAACAGAAAAAGACTTGCCTTGTAATAAAT